CCCATCATTAAACAGGGTGCAACATGATGAAAACAAACAAGCGTTTTAGAACAACCCTCATTTTGGCTGCCCTACGTGCAGGAGAGACCATGGGCTGCTAGAAGATCAGACCAAGCAAGCCATGACGGGGCTGTCCTCGGAACCGCTGACAACAAAGGAATCCGAAGGGTCCAAGGAGCTTCGTACTTTCACACGCCTCAGTGCAAAAACGGATCAACATTGCAACTGCAGCACAAAAAGAAGTTCTTCGGACCTTCGATCTGAGCTCTGACAAGGTTCCGGTTGCTATGCCCGCTGTAAGCGGCAAGCTCCGACCCGTCCTCGCAATCTTGACGCATTATTTTTCTGCAGTCAGTCAACCTTGTGCTTTGTGCAGTCACTGTGTCTGCTCTCGACTCAACAAGTATGCAAAACATAACGTCAAGCCAGCCTCACGCTCCAAAAGGCGGATAGAACTGTCCTGCAAAAGGAAATTTTCAAACTCGCCCAGATGCAGGCATCTATTCGTTGCAACACCCGCGCTCCAGTGTGGAAACCAGAAGGCATTGGCCATCTTCTGAAACTGATATGCTGCCAATTGGCTGCAACAGCTGGTCCTGCCCAATCCGAATGATATGCAGGTTTACGCACGGTCACAAATGCGCACAACACCTCTCTAGCACAAGCCACGTTGAGGAGCTGTTAACGCGAGCCATCCACTTACTGGCCAACCGGGCACTCAGCTATGTCACTGTGGGCGTCTGGGGTTGCATGCGGGTCTGGGACTATGGGTATCTATTTACTTCGCCATTTTGGGCTTCGTACAAAGGACAGGTCAACCAGCTGGCAGGTTGGGCCAGGCTTCCTAGCCAAACTACGGCGAGCGGAAAAACGGCGCCCCTGAAACACCCAGCCAAATGCTTGGAACCATGACAAGCTTTGAGCTGCAGGACGGAAATGAAATGCAGGTCCGTCACCAACTGTCCCTTCCGGAGGTCGTAGTGACGCAGACCACCATCAACACTTCCCGTAATGATCACCTTGCTGCTCACAACATTGTTGCAGCCAGCATGCTGACGCGTGGCCATAATTAATGCTAACGTGGTTCAACCGAAATGGTCCGCTTTGCAGCTCAGGGACATCTTTGTGTGTCATAAGGCACAAGATTGAATCGACTGCATCGGTCAGGGTCTGTATTGGCGCTCGCGCGCGAGTTCGTAGATCCCAGATTTTGACAGTCTTGTCATGGGAAGCACTGAGCAGCACGTCCTCTTTAGGGCCGAATGCCAGGGCATTGACTTTCCGATCATGGCCAGTGAGCTTTCTGATCGCTTGTGCAGATGTCACATCCCAGAGGAAGATCAACTTGTCAGAGCCGCATGAGACAAACTTGCTGTTGTCTGCAGCTATCCTCTGACAAAACAGATGCGTGACCAGCAACACAGCACTTGCAACTCTCGAATCTGACGGTCTCATGAAGGTAAGTCTCCGGATATCGTTGACTTCCTGGTTGTGGCAACCAGCAAACTTCTTGATGTGCTTGCCACTGTGTGGGTTCCAGAGTCTCACTGACTTGTCCTTTCCAGAGATGCATACGACTAGATGCCACGAAAAGTATTTGACACCAAAGGCAAAGAACGCAGAATCGTGGCTGGCCCCTCCTGCGACGCGGTCATGATGTACTGGCCGTTTTGTGTCCAAGACCTGCCGCTGTGTCAAAACAAACCAACACTCCAATCCACATTTCACGTGCCCTTTCATGCTCTGGCTTCAGCGAAACGTGAGGTCTGTCTGGGAGCCGCTTTTGCACTGCAATTTGCCGAAAAGCCCCTACGAGCATCAACATTATCAAGGATGATCTGCAAACAACCTCACAGAAACGGAGAAGTGAGAAGCGCATTCATAATAGTCGAGCAAGTGACATAGCCAGCACACCGGACTCATGGCCATTCAGCGTCTGCACCTGTTGTTGGGTTATGCAGGTCTTGGAGGGTCAAAATGCAACGGAATAGACTGCGACTGCAGCAGATCTGCCTGCACATGAGCTTTTACCATCCATTCACTGAGTCTTGTTAAGAAGACATGAGCGGGCGTCTAAATTC